CCAGCTGATGAGGTAAAACATTGTCCGTCTCTTCGCTTCATTTCACTGAGGATTGTTTTGTAAACAAGACTGGATTTGTAGACCGATTAAGATTAAAGAACGTGCTGTGCCGTCTATATTGGATCTGACAGGAATGGTGCAATACACGGACTCTGGGTCCAACATGTAAGGGCGAATCATTCCGGTTGCCATTTTACAAAATTGGACGTTTTTTTTAAAACAATTTCCCCCAAGTGCATCGGCGGGTGAGTCGAAACTCATTATAATATGCAAAACTGTTATCCACTCACAGAAGTGGCCGTTTACTTCCACGTCTTCAGTGCGAGACGCCCATAAAACAGAGCGTTTTTCAGCTAGGCTCAAAACTAGGGTACAAAATAGCCTATTACTTATTCATTTTGATGTTTCTGAATGCAAAAACCAAGCGAACGTCATAGGTTGACCTCAGACAACAATATAATCAAATTTAAAAAGCCAGTTCATGACCCCTTTAAACATGCATCATTTGTCGATGACATATAAGTTAAAAGATAAAAGTTGGCGTAGATGGAAAACGTAAGAGCCTACACCCAAATCATGTAAAGCAGATTAACAAAGCTAACAAAAAGCATTTTGTTTGCAATTTCATGGATGTAAACCAAAACACAGGAATATGATTTTAAAACCATCATCATCAAGGTAATCTCAACCTTGCATCTTAAGAAGAATCGCATCTTTGTGCATGGAAATCAATACGTCATTTTCTTCTCATAAAGGAACTAGTCTGATTCTTTCTATCGGGAAACGGTGAATGAAGTTGTTTGGTTGAAGGCATGGATTTACATTTTCAATTCCGAGTTTAACTCAAAGAGCAGTTGTTCTGAGCAGCTCAATTCTCCAGAAGGTTTTCCACATTTCTGGGCTGCAGAGCGGAGGGAAATTCCCATGGCTTCCTCCACAGTTTGGCTAAGTTGTTCCAGAACAGGACCATTTTATTCTCAGGTATGCAAATCATGAGTGCTTTGTAACCATTCTATATTTAACTCTGGGCTCAGAGATCCTGCTTTTCCTCCCATGGGCTTTGAGAGAGAAGGGGCCAGCTAAGAACCTTAATCTTGTCTTTTCCTCCAGATGCAAGTTCTGCACAGGCTGAAACTACAAAGACACAAATGCCCTTTGTCAGTTTTATGGTGTCAGCCCTTGAATACGCTTTTATAAAAGCTAATTTTTCGCTCAACAGTATGAACCGCAGAACTCGGCAATGAAACAAGAGTGCACAATTTCACCCCGCTTTCTCCGAGGCATAATTGATCCCAGAACCTTCGGATGCCATTCTGAACTTCCTTTCTCACAAACACATACCTCTACCCATTAATTAATCACATGGCTAACATGTTCCATACATCCTCCACTTAAAGAATAAATGACATTTCACCACATTTCACGGTGTCAATATGGCACCCACTGGTCGTTACCTCTAAAAGGGCTCCCTCTCTATGCATAAGCTTTGACTTTACAACAGCGAGCCCAATACCGCTTGTCCACAAATGTTACGCTTCTGCATTCATCACCTATTAAAGCTCCCCCAAAGCATCCACTCAGCCCTCGGGACAGCTGTGGGGTCACGCACAGGACACATTCACTGGGTTCATCAGGATGTGTGCTCAAGATGCAAACTTAAGCAGTCAAAACAACCTGGCAGATTCAAAACAAACACGGACAGAAATTACGTTTTCCCTGCTCGAGAGATGCGGACTCCCATACACCAGCTGCAGACGGACACACACGTCCCCAATAACAGCACATACTCCTAAACCAAACACAGGGGTCATGGAGAGCCTCATCCCATTGACCAACTTCAAAACACAGAGCTGCTTTTTAATTCCCCGTCCTGGGAAAAGAATGTCTTACCGAGGCTGCAAATTAACTATTTGAAGAGCATAGATCACCGCTGGACACTTCCTGATAGTAATGCTAGGAATAACAAAGCGGCTAAATCCTGGGGTTTATTTATGTTCGGCATGCCGGAGAGGTGGTGTGGTGATCGCCTGGTGGCATTCCAAAGCTGTGATGTCTCACTTGTAGACGCCCAACTCCAGTTCAGAAAAAGTCGACAAGACGACAGTAGAGGGAAAGACGTCCTGCACAACTTTCTCAAACAATTGGGGTTACCTTAAAAGATTAACCAGTGGTTTCACATAGTTTAGTATCGAAACGAGTGCCAGTTGCAGTGTTTTTGGCTTGGAGTCAAAGGTCTTGTCTTTTCTGACCTAATGATTATTTTTTTGTTATTGGGTAAAATACTGCCGAGTGCATTTGGAACCAATCACTTGGTACAAGCGAGGCCTGGTAGATGCTGAATGTTTCCTTCATGCTCCAAGACCCTGGCCATACTGCCTACCCTCGGTCCTTCATGTGGTTTCTGTCAAATTGCATCATTTGGAGCGAGGCCACAGGCAGACTCTGTCCCTCTGCCCCCACACTGCTCATTGAAAAAAGCAAATACTTGGCAGAAGTTAACAGAGCTGAAATGAGATCACTGACTTTTCTCTGGGAAAGGAGTCACAACACATCCATCAGACGAATGCCTGATAGAGCTGGCAGAACTACACTATTCCACAAATTCTTTTTTTTACACTTACTTTAGTGATTTGTCCTCCCTTTCTTCTTGGCTTCTGCAATTGACCAGATGATGACATGTGAAGCATCCCGAATGCAGGGGAAAGGTGAGTCTGACTTCAACAAGTCTGTTAGAGCTTGGGATGAAGCAATTCTTTTAGGATATTCAGCAAGGCTTTTCAGGACTCCATGAAAAGTTGGAAAGGGCCTCCAAAGACTTATCCTATTTCACTCCTGGTCCTTGAGGTGTGTCTAACTATAGAAAAAGAAGAGTCATTTTAAAGAGTAAACACATGCATTGAATTGATGCTAGATCTAAAGAGATATGTTCAATCAAAAACGAAAATCATGTCATCATTTAATCACCCTCATATTGTTCCAAACCCATATGACCTACTTCTGTTGAAGACAAATAAGAGAAATTGAAAAATTTCTATGTTCAATAAGCATATACCTAGCAAACACAGAACGTCCCCTAACGTTCCCGAATGGTCCCATGAGGTTATTTTTTTGGGAACCAGACAAGAACGTTATAGGAACATTTCATGTAGGTTATTTTAGGTTCCGTTTTTATAATGTAAGGAGAATGTTCCGGGACTGTTCCCTTAACCTTAAGGAGACGTTCTAGGGACGTTCTGGGAACCTAACGTTCCCAGAACCTAAATTTGTTTGGGTAGACTTGGAATATGGAAGTTTACAATACTTTTATGGTACTTTTGAAGCGTAAAAGCTTCAGTCCCTTTAATTGCATGGAAAAGCACCACATATATGAGAGGGAATTTGGTCAATGTTGGATTTGTGTGGATATAGAGCTTCTTTACACTGACCAGGAGATTGCACTAGTGCTTGGAAAGCTAAACAGAAACCACTTCCACTCCTTTCCAAGCGCCTAATTTCAGTTTGGTTTGCAAAAAGTTCCATACTCTTTGAATATGAAAGTGACTACACTGGTTAAAGAGCCCGAATGTATGATTGGTAAATGGGTCTGATTTATTATCAAATTAATTTTTGAGTCCTCTACATGATTGGAGGAAGGAAGGAGAAAACGAACACTAATAATTCATTAACCCTGTTAAATTCAAGGTTTCCTGTGCTTGTAACAAAGCTGCAGCCTTAAACAAGCAAACATTTTCAGGTGAACACAGAGGCAGGTCTGTGCAAAGCCCCTGTAATCCCTCAAAGTCAGCGCTGAGCTACAGTTAATGGCAGGCCACAAAGCAGGAAAGGATGCTTACCCAAAGAAACCAGTGTGCTCAGTCTATATGGAGAGTGTAGTGTTTGTTCCAGGATTCGAGGAAGGTGTTTATGTGTTGGATGACTTTGTGGATCATGGAGTGTTTGGGTTGTACGGCTGCTGCCAGGGGATCTTTTGTTTGGTTTACTGCTTTCATAGAGCAGACTAATGGGGCCAGTGGGACAAGATATAGTATGACTTGCTCAGTGTGACACTTCAGTGGCAGGAAGTGAGGCGGACAGTCTGAAAGTGAAAACAGACTTACGGATGATTCGGTGATTGAAGTGTTAATGTCTGGGCCAGAGACAAGACGTGACTTATTTCAATGGGATGTTTTGGAATTCCAGCTACAAAAGAAAGGCTTGTAACAGTTCGAGTAGTCATGCTACCTATCGAGAGTGCCTCGCTTGTTAATTTTTGCTCTATAAATGACAAAATTGTTTGACTTCCGGGTGGGAGACGACATGGGGTTGAAAGCAGGTTTGAAACACTCCAGCTGCCCGGCCCCCCCAAAACCTCCATCCTCTGTCAAAAGCCCCCCTACCAGCGTCCCTCAGTCTAAACACATCTGACTTGTAAATATTCTTTATTGCATCGGTAACATAAACGCTCTCAGCGACAGGCCCGTTGGACGATTTTTCCCACACTCTAAGAGTAAGGCCAACCACTCAGTTCTCTAAACAACAGCACTCCAAAGAGGATGGCGAGGTTGACGTCACCTCTTCAGGTTTGGAGGACTTCCAGCATCTCACCAAGCACACCACCACCTAGTCAACCCAAGGAGGACATAGAGGGTGTCTGGATTTCATCCAATGTGGCGATCTGCTGAAACAAAGTTGTGATTAAGATGAGCAAAAAGATGGTAGAATAGTAATTATGCTAGACAAAATGTTATTTTTGAAAATCTCTATTATTTATTCCTACATTAACATTTACTCACCCTCACGCGAGTAATCCTTGGGAACACTTTAGTCGATTATCTGAGCAGCTCTTTTCCATACAATCAAAACATAGTGACCAGGGATTGTCAAGGACAAAAACTAGCCACCATACACACAACTAGTGTGCTATATTTACATTTTCACAAGTCAAATGATTGCTCTGACTGAGAAACATATTCTTCAAAATATATGTTCCCTAGATATGTGAACAAATTCACAACAACATATTATTCTTAATATCTTTTTAATCACACAGGTCAATATGAATTAAATTCTGTCAAATCAAAGTGAATCAATATCAAAGGAGAAAAAAAATCAACTTAGGACAAAAATAGGCACTGCAAGCAGGGAGACCAAAAAAAGCACCCTTAAAAGTCAGGCTACATTTGTGTTCAGACTAAACATTTGTCAACTGTTCCATTTTATTTCAAAGAATGCTTTGTTCTCCACGCGGTGCTTATTTTACTGCTCACAGGAGCACTTGCATAGCATTTTCCTCAAACTTCTTGACCTCCCTGTAACACATGCCACTTCAAAAACAACACAGCACTCTGAGAAAGTATACATTTATAATTTGCTACCAATCATTGGATATTGAATATACAGTGGGGTCCAAAAAAGTCAGAGACCACTATTGTAAACTATTTTTCCATAACAAATTATATTCAGAATATCAGAATAACAATTTAAGTTCACCATGAATATGAGAAAACCTATTTGGTTTGTCCTCCGTTTGCTGCACGAACTCCACAAGTTTGTTTACAACCTGATTGTCATGTTCTCCAGCATGATTTGAGAATGATCCAAAGAGCATCTTGAGCTTCAACGGAAGAGAATGAATATAAATAAAAAAAAAACTAAAAATCCAATGTGGTCTCAGACCTTTGTACCCAATGTACCTGTATGTTCTTGGAAGCGATGTGAGCTCAGATGACTCAATTCAAGAGAAGAAGTTGAGGTGCAAACATAAGGCCATTCTAATCTGTTATCTGGACACTGATATTGTTGCATATTATGATCTTGAATGACCGATCATTCAGACGAATATTGCACTTGCACTTGATTTGGAATTTATAGTACGGATGTGAATTTGGAGTAGCGTGACATCTGTTTGATCTACTTCAAGTCCTATTAAAGTTCTTCACTCTTACTAGAAGATGGAGATTGACCTGCTCCCCCAGATGCTTCCACCTCCTTTGATGCACTGTTTTTCGACTGGAAATTGAGGGAAGCGGAGTTTATGCAGTAGCGTTTCTTAGTTGGTCGAGGTCCATCATCAAAGAGGTGGCCCAGGTGAGCACCACACTACAAAGACAGAGAGAGAGAGAGAGAGAAAAAAAAAAGAAAACTCAACAAAGTGCTTTCATAGCCGTGTAATTTTTTTTTAACATTGATCTAGTTTTGTACCTGACTGCAGGTTGTCTCCACTCGGTGCATTCCGTAGGAAAAGTCGTCCGTTAATTTTATATCGTCCTTATTGATCAAATCAAAAAAGGACGGCCATCCTGCAAAAGTACAACATTGAGGCTTAAGTGAATCTTCATGGGATCCACAAGCCTATAAACCTTCCATTCTAGTGTATTTTCATGTCTTGATGTGAAACATTAGTGTTTTGTCCTCTTCCTGGCCTGCCTTGATGTTGAAGCTCATTCTGGGTGAAATTTTCACATTTCCCTGTATTTCAATACTTTTGCAACAATACACTATAAGGCATTTGTTCAGATGTAAAGCAGTAGCAAGTGTGTTATATGATTATTGTTTGTTATGAAAAGAACACCAGAAAATTTAGGAAAAGCTTGGTCCTTTTGTTAGGAAAGAAACTTCCACTGAATGACAGCAAAATAAGTTTGGGCTTTGAATTTTTTTTTGTTGCAAAATTCACCAACACGATTCTTGGGAGTCTGGTTTCTGACAAAACCAGAGATCTTCCATCTAGCCTACTGCATGGTTGGATGACATTTTAGAAGATCAGGAAGTGAAACGAACCTCAATGAAAACGGTCAGCGTTATCGGCAGAGTTACGGCTCTCTTACAATCCTGTTTCTTTTATCTGGAAAATTTACCCAGTAACAGGGGTGTAAATGGAAAGAATGGCTGCTCTGGCTCATGGGTGGTCCTGCTCATGGCTCTCTGGGAAGGTGGAACGTCTGGAGGAGAAGAACCTTGGGAGCTTACTACTACACAGCCTCTGCTGGCATGTTTGTTTAGGTTTTTGACAAAAACCCCATACAATCTTTAAAGTACTACCTCCTGATTACTGGTAGAGGGAAACACATTAAGGTAAACACTGCAAAGCAAAATGAATGAGCAGTAAAAGACTACTGGCACTGTGGAGTATACCATATCCAATTATTTGTCAAAACATCCGAGATTAAGTGTGCAATTTCTGCAACACCAGAATTAAAATATTGTCTTTTTTTAAAGGTCCAAACACTCCAACCATACTGACATAAGTGCACAATATTTAAAGAATAATTAAATTACACTACCAATCAAAAGTTTAGGATCAGTGAGTTTTTTTTTTAAGAAATTAATAATTTTAATAAGCAAGGACACATTAAATTGATCAAAATTTGCTGTCCACTTTCTGTTCATCAAAACACTGCATCACAGCACAACATGTCTTAATATTGATAATAATATGACTGCAAACTGTAGTACAATGCAAATAATCTGCACTGAATAGTAAATCGTGAGCGCCAAAATATAACACAATTTTAAAAAGACCAAAATAAGACATCTCACTTTCTGTCCCCACATTTAATAACTCCAAAGATTTAATGTTAATTTAAGACTTGAGGACCCACAAATACATGGAAAGAATTGTTTGAGGGCCACTGTGGGAGATTTGGCTTCATTCATACCCTTTATTCTAGCTTGCAACCCCAATTATTACCAGGCACATCTTGGTATCACTATCTGCGGGTCAGGCCCACTGCTGTGATATTACGGGTGTCGGGAAACAGAAGTCACCCGCTCATTCTATACTTTCCCTCCACAACCCCTCGAACACCCCTCAATCACACTCTATACGGACCCCCCTCTCTCTCCTCCCTCTTAGGGAGGAGATGCTTGGCCACAACTACAAAGCCACGAAATTCCACTCAGACACAGGAAGCTCTAGAGGGAATATAGGAATCCTATGACTCAGACCAGGAGAATCCTGGCGGATCATCGCAGAGCTGATCTAATGGAGCTTTATCGCCAGGGCGAGCAGCCCAGTGAATGGAGCAGTGTAGAGGCACTCTAACAAAACAGGAAATTGAGTCTATGAGTCTAGGCTGCAGCGTTGCCAGCATGCAACGCGGGCCGCTTGGCTCCCATCTCCACGTCGAAGACAGAAAAGATTCAACTCGAGAGAAAATCCCATTTTTCAATGCGGGGCCCAGATGTTTCTCATTTCGGCCTGTTTTCTGTAGAGAATTTGTGCATACGCGTATGCTTTGTTCGGAGAGCGAATTAAAATAGCATGTGTAATGTTGCAGAAGTATGTGATTTGGAGCTCAGATCTGTAAGGGATCAACAAACCGTTGCTGAGATATATTATAATGGCATTGTACTCTATACACTCAGCGTCAACTCAACATTCATTTAGTCGGAGCTGATGAGAGTCTTTTAAAGCTTAAAACAGAAAACATTAAACTCATAACAGTATAAGCACTTCCAGGACACCACCATATGATGAAATTCATAACAACTATGAGCTGCATTTTGTGCTTATTTGCACAGGGGCATTAAAATTAAAGTGATAACTAAACACTTTATTATTAGCCAGGCAAAACAAACAGCATTTTTAAAAGTTTAACTGTCGAAAATGCAACGTTCAGAGTGCAAGATGCGAGAAACAATGCAAAAACAACCTTGTGTCATGTCTAGTCAAATTTGTTGTCGGGCAATGTCGCATCTTCACATTTTCTTCATTTGACTTTTCTCAACAAATATTATGTTTTAATGAATTAATTGTGATAATTTGTCATTTTTGTAATCCATTACCATGGCAAAAGAAAAACCTCTGTATACTTTTTCCCTGGGAGAATTAAATTAATTCAACGGTTATTCTCTAATTGTGAAAAGAGTGAGACGGACAGGGGAAGAATTAGGAACCATACCTGATCCGGAGTCGAACTTCTTATCAGACCTGCAACGACAGTAAAGCGTCAATAACAAAATTAGAAAAAAATATTGCCTAGCAAATATCCACAAAAAAACCTTTTGATTTCTAATGGCAAAACGGATTATAAAAGGTGGGCATGTTAAAGGATCATGGGTCATATATTACACTCACATGAAAAGAGGAGCACCGCAAACGACACAGTGGTAGGTTCCTTCCTCTTTATTATCGACATATGTTCCTGTGAAAGCACTACGGATGACAAAACACAAATGGTGACTTCATACCTTTACATGATCTACAATAAATGATAAATTACATTGCTCACACTTGCGTGTTTCAATTTCGATTTCCCATGCTCCGCGTTTGTTTACGCAAAAGTCCTGTAAATATGTTGACTGAGCGTTTCTAATCTATGTAAATTGAGGAGGATTTGTGGATGAACAGAGCAACAGGCCTCAAAATGCATCTTTCAGGATCCTTCCTTGCTTTCCTTTCACAGGCATTTTTCACATTCCTACTGCCAATGGGCCGATAAATACATTCCCCACGTGTGTTTTACCACTGAGGGATGAAGGGGAAGAGGGGAAGTGTCCGTGTTTTCTCTTCTGTGCTACATCCTTCTTATACTCAACATCTATCTCATGGCCTTGGGTTGTTCAGGAGAGAAAGTGCCATACGTTTTTATCAGCCAATCATTAAGAAATCTGTACAAAGAACGTTTAGTCCATTGGTGTTTTACTGCCATGATCAACTACAAAAACAAAGTCCTTTAAGTAGAAAAAAATGGAAATTTAAGGGAAAGAGAAATCCAATATTTCTATCATAAAATCTAGATTGTAACGCTGTTAATATGTCCATGTGGCCATGTCCAAATTCACCAGTAAGCACCATTGTGGAGTATTTTCTTTGTACCAAAGACAGTGACTCAAAAACGCAGTTTGAAACCATCCCCGTTTCCGGCCATCACAAACAAATAACCAATCCCGTCAAAGTCCAAGCCGGGCCTTTTCCTACCTTTAAGCAGGGACAGAAAAAAATCGGGTACATATAGCATATTGGGCGAATCAGTGGGTGGAATTATTGCTCGCAGGGGGGATCGTGACAAACTAATTTAGTCTGAAAGTGTATTTTAAGGTGATTTTGAGGTAGGGTTGGCCACCCACCTCTCTGTGCCCTTCTCCTGAGTAACATGGTACTGCATGGGGGTCAATCGCTTCCTCAGCTCCTCCTCGGGGAACGTTTTGGGCCATGTCTTCTTACTCCGGCACGTTCCTACAGGAAAGACAAGAGCGGTTAGACAGACATAAGTGTTCGTAATCACCAAAATGTAATGTCTAAGTGCTAAACCATCAATGTTGGACAAAACAACTATCACTCTAATCTAGGTTTCTATGTGACCTCTTCCAAACAGGAGTCAGCACTTTAGTCTTTTCACTTTTGGGTGCAACTAGTTATTTGGGTTGGCTGATAACAAAGGATGACTACTTAAATTCTTGACTTGACTCTGTGACAGACACACAATCTAAACGCTCCGTCGGTGAAGTGCTACAGCCAAAGTATTACGCCAAGGCAAGTTTGATTTTCCCTGCATATCATACACAGTGAGTTATGACATTCTAGATGAGCGCTCATGCTGGCTGTTCAAACAGAAGGCAGCGATCTCGAGCTTAACAACAATGCTGACCTCTAGAGGTCAACCTGAGGAGTGAATAAATGTCAACCGGTTGGACTTTCAAACTCCGGTGTAACTCACATGTCAAACTCCGCTCCTGGAGGGCCACTGTCCTGCAGAGTTCAGCTCCAAAACACCTGCCTGGAAGTTTCGAGTAATCCTGAAGCTCAGGAGTGTTTGATTAGGGTTGGACAGTGGACCTCCAGAAACTGAGTTTGACACCCCTACTTACATTAAATCTAAACTCTAAAACATCAGCCTGGAGATATCTTGCAGCCCGAAATATCCATTCTGGTAATCGTAGAGTCCTCAGAAGAAGACAAGCGCTGTAGCCATGTTTTTAAAGTGGGCCAGATGTCCATCTGCACACCATTTATTCACCAGGACACGCAGCAGTTTTAAATTACATACAATTCTACTGCAATTTCCCATTACAGAGTGCTTTCTCCCTCCTTTCCACCTTTTTTTCCAGCTAATAACGATTTTTTCACTCGTGTTCCTGTGGGGTCTGTCCTGCTCCTGTATTGTTCGGCCGGTTTTACGGCTTGTGTTCTGGTGAGAGCGGGACTCCCTTCATTTAGACTATGTGGAGAATTCCTCTCGACAAGATTGAAACCATGTGAATGGAGGAAATAATGGGGTCTTTAAAGGTCCCCTTGGTGAATGGACTCCATTGATGGGCCCTGCTCTGTCCAGCGAGTACAAAGTTACTTCTGACAAACATGGGGAAGAGGGGAGGAGAGCCCAAAAAGGAGGGGGTCGCCTCCCTGCAGGACTCTCCTGTATTCCTCTCGACTCTGTGAGAGGGGTCTTCTGGATCCTATTAGTGAGACAGAGAGAGAGAATTCCTCGTTTTTTTTTTTTTGTGTATGGAGGACTCGGAACACTATTTATACTGTGAGAGAGAGGGAAGGAGGGGGAAAAGGGGAAAAAAGTGTTTTATTTCTTGGTTTGTCTAGAAAAGCCTCTAAGGAGGCATTTAAAGAAATTCAGGAATTCACTCTGTGTCACCCCCTGCAAATGATTTAGTTTTGGTGCACCGAGAGGTCACACTACAAATCAGCACGTTGTTCCAACATCCCTCCGCTATAACCTCAAGTGAAAGTTATTTCCTAATTGGAAGCAAGATTTGTTTTTAGCACAGGCCTTTTGCTTCAAACCAAACATATCACATCTTCCCCCAGACATTCTTCACGCTTTTTCGAAGCTATTCTCAACTCATCGCTTTCAAACTTTTTGATAGTGCTTGCAAGGCAGCGCTGCATTGATTCCTCCAAGTTTTTTGTGTTGTTTTAAATGCTAAACTCAGGCCTGATTCAGACAGCACGTATGTAGGCAAAGCAGTAGCATAAGTGCAAGAGCGGGCACGAGTTGCACTCTCACACCAGCATTTTTCTGCATAATAGCATTGAAATTTGTCTCTATACAGATAATAAGAACTCTAATTCACATGAAAAGAGGCATCAAAATGAATCTGCATAAACTAATTAAACCCTAACCTCGAAAAATAAAAATAAATTAATGAATAATACAATTATATAATTTATCTAGTATATAATGCCAGCCTTATTGTGTGTACTACATTTTAAAGCTAAGAAATTTTAAATTATTTTTTCAACCCTCTGGTGCACCTTGCATGGCGGTCAAAAATGCCTTATTATTTTTCTTTCAATGAAATGAATGTGTTATATTTTAGTTTGATGTATTTTTAGGGGATTTTATAGTGCAAAATTATATTTATGCAGTAGTCACTTTTTAAGCATAGAGCTGAAAATGAAATTTCTAACTTAAACTGTCCTAAATCTTTAAAGTTTTGTAGCACAGACTTAAGTTTGGTCTCTTTTTTTAGGAAGAGACTTGGCAGATTATTGATGAAGTGAAAAAATCTATAAAAAAGTGAACAGTTTAAGTGAACATGAAAAATGCACAGAAATAATACTATTTTAAATGTTTATGTGAACTATATTTACCAAAGCATGTTTTAATCCAGAAAATTAAAGCCAGATATCTAAACAAGTTGTGTTCCAAATTTGAGGATGATATCTCGAAAAGATTTTGTTTGGGCGCAGTACCAAATATTTCCACTACTGTAAAAAAAAAAAATATTGTTGGTTTAACTTAAAAAATTAAGTGAGTTAATACAATGACAGAAATTAATTTAATCATCAGAAACTCAAAATATTAAGTTATCTGAACTAAATAAATTATTTAAGTTGATTTGACAAAAGAAAAAAATGTTGTGATAACAAATCTTGAAAATATTTTTTTACACTATGAAATTTGTTTCCCATTACCAAGTTTTGTACCATTTTGATGAAGTAATAAAATTGTACAAAACCAAAATGTATAATTGTATAATCAAAAATGACCAAAGACCACCAGAGGGTTAACTGACACTGAGAGAATATTCATCATTCAAAATGTACCTTACAGCGATGACTTCATAATATTTGCATATACTGAATCGCAACTGTTCTTCCTTAGAACTATTCAGTCATATAACATATAATAAAAAATAATAATAATAAATAAACCTGTCTAAAATGTGAACATTATTTTTTGCCACCATGCAAGCACTGTTATTTCCATCAGGTAATGCAAATCCAGTTACATTTCATTATTTTGACAGAAACGTCCAATAATCAAAATTAAACTATGAAGTTTTAACCTGCAACAATGGTTATTGTACAAAATGCAAATAGATACAACTAATGTCCTCAGAAGACAACCTGTTTCTGTGTTTCATCTAGATTCCTAAAATGGAAAATACAAATACAAATTCAATCATTAGTAGAAATTAAGTTAAATGTTGAAGCATGCAGGCTTAAAAGAAGGTAAAACAGTGAGTTAGGCAGTTTTCCATGAGCAAAGATCTAAACAGAGAAAAAGAGCAAAGCAAACGGTGACATTTCAGGGCAAGGCGGTCATCAAATGTAGAAAAACCAACTCAAGCATCAGAGGGAATCTGATATCTGGCAGCTAACTATTATAAAAAAGAAAACAAAATAACTATCACTTCCATGCATTTATACACAGAGACTGTCAATGTGAAGGAAACATTATCCACAGAGAAAGCTCACCGTCACGCTGCCAAGTTGGTTTCTCCACATGAGACCTTATCATCAACCAAACACGCACCCCTTGCCGAACGCTCTCACACGCGTGTGCAGACACATGAAAGCATCAAGAAAGCAAAGCACACTGCACACACACACAAACACAGCATCCAGGTGACCTGAGGGGAGCCCGCAGGCCTTGAGTTTTACAGGTTGGCCTTGGCTGACCAGATGCAGTAGATTGAACCCGGACATGTCTGCTGCCGATGCTGCTGGGAGAACAGAACCAGCGGCCTGCTAAAACACCCTCCTACCACTCAGGCTAAAAAAATCATAAAGACAAACATAGGCAAGGAGGGAGAAGAAGGAGAGGAAGAAGAAAAAAAAAAAACACAACATAGGTCAACACAGATGTCAGTTACAGAGATGGACAATTAGAGCGGCCAATCATGGGACGGCTGACACTTCTCATGCAGGGAAAGACTGATTAACGTCACTGTGTAAAGAGAGAGAGGAGAACAGGAACGATAAAGAAGATAATATTCACAATGAAACCTTGTAACCTTGTGACTTGCATATATGAGAGTTAAACGTGGTATAATATTGAGGCGCTTCAATTATAATAGGGACTTTTTGATTTTTATTTTCAATAAAGGCTTTTAATATTACAGCTCAAAGTGTTTAAACTGCAATGTTTATATGCAGAACCGGACACTGATATAAAAGCTGGCGGTTTCTATGGGCGGCTTAAGCTTATCGGCGGTTTCTATGGCTGTAGCACGTCAGTTGTGTGTCTAAGAGCCATAAAGAGAAAACTAAACCTCACAATTTAATTTACATTAATACACATCTGCAACTTCACTAACAAACTTTCAACTGCACTACATAGGCATTTGCCGCAAAACAATGCACTGGAAACCAATCTAGTCTAGCCTAATTAAACTTGCCTAATAGACCCATCGCACATTATAGAAACTATACAATACCTAGCGCAGTGGGCGGAGTCAGTGTTAGGAGTGGCCCTGCGGATATACGGGAGCGCCTGCATTGGAGCAGGGCCATGGATGCGAGAGGGGCCATGCATCGGAGAAGACGGGCAGCCATCCTGGCCTAAGGCAAACTCAAGCACGCTGTGGATAGAGCTTTGAGGAAGAGAGCGAGAAGGTTTTTAAGACCTTCTCCGAACTTCTTTTATAGAGAAAAAGACCTATGAAAAATGGAACTAAAATGGCCAAAGATTGTGTGAAATTATAGCTGAACTACAGCAGCAATAACAGGCAAAGCCACAGAGCGCTGCTGAGCGAGAGGGTGAAGCTGCGGTTTATGAGGAATGAGGTCCATCTAGTGGTTGTGCAGGTGTGTGAGGAAAATCTTTGTATCGACTGCAACAAACAGGGAAGAGAAGAGTATAAATGACAAATTGTTATTATATTATGATTGATTGATTTTTTTCCATTTAGAAAATATTCCTTTAGTGGAGCAAAACATATTTGGAAAAATATAACGCCAAACAGGCTTTTCTCAGAACTAACCAATTTTTCTCTACTATACATGTGTTTACTAAAAGAAAATAGTGAGACATTTACTTGTAAAAAAATATTTTCAAGATTTGTTATCACAATTTTTTTTCTTTTGTCAAATCAACTTAAATAATTTATTTAGTTCAGATAACTTATTATTTTGAGTTTCTGATGATTAAATCAATCTCCTTCGCTGTATTAACTCACTTTTTCCAGTTCAATCAACTTAAAATTTTAAGTCAACCAGGTTACTTAATTTAAGTTAAACCAACAATATTTTTTTTACAGTTTTACAGTTACAATATTTTTTTTCACATTACTTAATTTTTCTTTTAAGTTAAACCAACAATATTTTTTTACAGTAAATATAAATGCAACTTGGTTTGATATCCTTTTTTTTTTTACTGAATTGCTTCTCTGTAGACTTTTATTTTTCTATTGTACAAATACTTTTAAGGGCCTGGTATTAAATTTCTAATGACATTTTTTCTAAGCAGCAATATGTGTTAAAGAGGACTGATCAAAATAAACAAGACAAACATGATTATTATTTAAATACAATAGCATTCAGACACTTGTTGAGACTCACAGGAACTCTTCACCCAGGGCTGGGCTGTCTGGAAGGAGTGGTTTTAACACATGCACAGATACAGACACAAGCAAGGCCACATTTTAAAAATAGCCAGCACTCACTCGCAGAGAGGACTACAAATAGAACTGGATTGTGGCTCTGCAGAATCACACCATAGGTCTGTGATTGTGAACAGCTTGATGTTAACATTATTTGCATTCCAGAAAGTTCTGTAAAAATTGTAACAACTGATCAAAGCTTAATGAACCACTACATTTTCAAATACAAAATCTAATTTAATTAATTTGTGTAAAGCCAAACTGGAACTAGAGTGACTCATTAAACATGTTATTTTTGACAATAAGCTTCTCATCGCTATCGATCAACTGCACTTATCAATTTAACTATAAAATTAGTAGGCAAAAAAAAATGCACTTGATATTTCTGTCTATTTCTGAGTATCACTGCGGTTTATAAATACAGCATGCTTAATACGTGGGGTAGAGTCATAACTATATATAGTAGTAGTGCTACGGGATAGATCAGAAATGTTTTAAAATGGCTGCTATTTAACAAAACTGGTTTTGATGGTTGGGCCATTGTGAAATGTTTAGTCTAAAGTGAATTAAACTGCATTAGGAATGTATGAATATCTCAAGAATGGAAAACTTTTGGCAAATGATCTGTGCGTTTTGTTTGGCAGCTGCCAAATTGACTGAGGTAATAAGCTTGTTTTGTTACCAACACAGTGAATGATATTTAGTATATTGAATAGGACATTTACTAACTCAATGCAGAGAGAAACTAAGCACCTGGCAATTTCATGACTCACAAACCCAAACATTCAATTCCATATTATTATATTAAACGTCCATCGGATGACTAATCATCCTGACAGGCTTTTGGAAGTTCATTAGATAGGTGCCAGTACTTTAGATGACAATTAAATAAACATGACATAAAATATTAATGTCTTTAGAATGGACTTACAAAAAAAAACTACCATACTTGAAATTGGAGTGTCATGGATGGTAATACCATAGTGTTTACATTGTATCATAGTAGTGCCACTGAAGTTTTTTGAAAGGGGTTACATAAAATGTTACATAACAATGCCTCGCTACAATGACATCACGTGTGGGAGGATACATAGTATGCATTGTATACAAAGTGTAACTGATATGCCTCTCACAGAAGACCAAATTCCCTCTGTCTATTTACGTAAAATTTAGCCATATTAAAATATATAGGCTGCATGCATAAAAACTAATAAGCAAAAATGTCGCACACACGTAGCCTATTCGTTCGTTCTATTTCAACTGCGTCAATTTGATAAAATGACAGTAAATAACGGTGTTGTGTTGTTCAACGCGTAGTCATAGAAACCCTGTTGCCTGCATTGAAGTCACTTAGAAAGTGAATAATACAGAATATACATATATAGTAAGTAGTTACACGTACCAGACAGCAGAAACAACGTTAAAACCGAGTAGGACAGCAGACTAGAGAGTGGGGGGCCGCTGTGAGAGAAGCGCATTTGCCAAACAGCGATACGACCGTGTACTTCTTAGGTAATGACAAGTGCATTCTGGGAAATTCCTCTTGCTGGGCAGACGAGCTCCAAATATGAGCAATGCGTAATTTGCGCGCATAGTTACTCAGCCAGAAGCAGTTTGTGAGCTTAATTACGTCAATGGGCAGTGCCAAAATGGGTTAATGTTAATTTGATTATTTGCATAAGGTAATGCAAATAGGCTATTCTGCTCTGCATACCTAGGCTAACATCAAATCACGCAATTCACATCCCAACGTTACTTCTTCCATCAGGTCTGAGATCAGACAACTGCATTTCCAATTAGGGAAATGCGAAAAGCTCATTCTAGATCAGTGGATACGGATAACTTTATGTATTAGATTATCAAAAGTGTATACTATTAAGATGTAGCGTCAAATAAATTAATCAGTGTGGGAAGTGTAAACTTATTAGTTTAGTGTAAGTTATTAGTCATCGGATCCTACTTTTCATTTTCATGTAGTGAACATGGTCAAATACTCTAAAATATGCTTAGTTTTCGCTTGGTCATAAAAAAAAAACGTTATTCAATTGAATGTTAAGGAATATATTTAGGCTTCTATGTTTTTTTTTTCACTTTTTTTTGTACTAGCTACTGTTGTCTACATTAAGTTTTTCAGTTCAAGGATCCTTGTCGATGGGTTAGAAACTGGGAATGATGCAAAAACTTGAACAATTTAAAGTGAATACCACGTCGACAGCTGGGTGGACTAGTAAATTAATTAAAATTGATGGTGTTGCAAAATAGGAAGAGAAATGTCCATTTTTGCATCTGAAAGAGATGAGATATGAATTAAGAACAAGATTTTATATATACATTTACTAACATATATTATTCATTTTCAAAACACAATCATTCATTCACAAAATAATATCCATTGACTTCATGAATGATCTCTGAGATTATAAACAATGTATTGTCTTAAGACTGATTTGTAATACTAATATATTCACCTATGTACCTGGAGTGGGCAATACAGACACCTTTAAAGAAATACTTTCAATCATTAAAATATCCCCTTTATCTAAAAAAGTCATTACCAGGGCTCTATATGTAGAGGAGTCATTCTGAGAAAGCACAAGTTAAAATGTGCTCAAGTAGAATATGTAATGAAATTCAACAAGGAACTGAACATTAGTAATAAACAAGTACATTTTATTTACCTCATATCAACCCGAACTGCATCTAAACAAAAGCTGATAAATCGTTCTGTGTTCCAAAATACACATGACCGCAGCATGACATGCTCTTGTTTATGAATGCGTCCCGATACAAATTAGAATCAGATCACCGGATTAGGCTGCGACCGCAGTAGCACAAGTCCATCAAAAAGGTCTCTTTTGGAAATTTAGAGGGGTCAGATTAAAACAGCAACAGCGTGGCATTTCAAATTTGCCAAGTGACATGTGAGGGGGGTAGAATCCATCTGCACCAATTAATAATGGGAAAAGCATAACTTTTTAAAATATAAACAAAAACAACAGTAAATAATTATATACTTGAATATAATCAGGCTGTGACAATTAAGACTAGTGTTCAGAAACATGGCATCAAAGGGGAACAATTGTTCATTTCTCTCTCAAAGCCATGTAGACCCTTCCACATACCACGTCTCTGAAAGCAGCAGTGTAGTTATTCTGTTGGCAAGAAACAAACGAGAGCTTATAACGATTTCAAATTCATACAGATGATTTCAACCACCACCATTCAATGAGATATTTACAGCACCCCTTTCAAGAGTGTGTGCATGCTGTTCTTGGACTAAAAACTACAAAAAAACAAAACAAAAAATAATAAAGGGAATACATCAGCTAAAACATCCTCAGGGAAATAAACATCCACAATATATGATACAATTCAAAGCTTAAATATAGGCATACTTTAACCAGCACATGCAGCTATGTATAGCCCAACACAGCTCCTTGGAATAAAGGAGGGGAGTTAGTTACGTAAAAAATAAGCAGAGGCCGGAAAACTTTCATTCTTCTTGTAAGATTTAAAGTTGGAAGCCATTTTTGTCATTGAATCCATAAAGACGGTATATCAAAAACAAAGAAAATACATAAGAGAAACAGAAATTTGTGTCCACTTGCACCAGATATGGGACGGACAGAGGATTGTGTCGTCCACCTCTCCTAAAAGTTCTCACCGGACCGAGCAACTCTCTCTGCACCGGATTCACGCCAGTGTGTACGTCTCCCTTGCTTTCCTTGATACCGAAGGACAGGGAAAAAACAAAACAAAAAACACAGCAGCTCACAGGTTTAAACACCATTGCTTGCATATGGCTGACAAAACTGATTGGGCGTCCCAGGTCGCCCAACAGTAAAAGCTCCTGAACGCGGTTCTCTCTGGTAAGGAGGACGCAGGAGGAATGAGCCTCGTATATAGCGAAAGAGAGAGCAGAGAGGATGGTGGTGGCCGTTAGCACGTTCCTCAAGAAAAACCCAGTGAGCTGGACGTGCTGGATCGCTGGTTCAGGCGAGACATGCTGTTCATGCTGGAGCTGGAGGGCTTGAGGGGCGTGTTGCTGCCCAGGGCTTGTGGGAAACGCTGGTGGTAGCGATCCAGGCGTAGGTACTTGACCGTCACCAGCTTACCTGTAGCAAATGGGTGAAAAGCGTTGAAAAACGCTCTGAAACTGAAATGGCTCGGATTAGTCTAGAATAAATACATTTATTTACCATCAAACCAGGAGCCATGAAGCGCTTTGAAGGCTTTCCCAGAATGCTCTGCTGAAAGGCACTTCACATAAACGCAGCCCTGGACAGGAAGATCATATCGAAAAATAATCCCATTAGTTAAATGGTTCTAGGAATATTCCAAAACACTGTGAAATTATAAGGCAGCAACGTACCCTATTAGAATCAATTGCGTTTAATTTTTCGAATTAGTTCACAATAATAACATGGATTACAAGTTATTTTATCTTCTCTTCCAAAGTTCCCTTAGTAGGCAACAGTTCAGGCTGTACATTTTGTAAAGACCAACATAGGCTCAGGATACTCACCTCTCTTGAGTTTTTGTCAACAGCTATGTGAACGATTCCATCGTTATCACTGCATTTCTCCAAAATGGCTTCTTGAATGGCGAGGTGCCAGTTTTCCCCCACTTCCCTGTTCAAGAGGGAAATACTGACTAGTGAGATTATTTTTCTCAACAAAAACACTATAATAACAGCCAAGCCTATATAATCTTATGTCTGCTTGAACAACAAATCCAATGTGAGGTGTTAAGTTGCTTGGGAAACTTACATTACAGGATCAAACATGTTGCGAATCTTCAAGCATGGCGTTAAGCTGTTTGGTGGTGAATTTCTTCGGTCCAACGGAAATGCTAAAGAACAAAACAAGCCATGTAGTCCACGTACATACTCTACACATCCATAAAAATATGGACACTACACATGAATGGGTGTTGAACAATTAACATAAAAAAACAAGTTTATCCCACATACTTATGGCCATGTATGAATATGAAAAACTAATATGGCACAATGATTGCACACAATGTAAGAGTTACCTTGGCCTTGCCACACTTTGGAAGGCATGCTGGACATCTTATCAGGTGACATTGAGGGCTGAATCCACCGCCACACCATGAAGTCCGCCCCTCCAATCCTCTGCTTTTCTGTCCGGATGCGAGACTCGTTAGCTGAGAGGAACGCAACAGCTCTGTCCCACACTTTCTTCATCTTCTTTCTGACAGAACAACACAAACATATTATTCAGGACTGTTGTCATGAAAAGAGGGCATTTCAGGCAAATACGCAATTCAAATGAAAAGCAAATTCGTTCTGCAACAATAGAATACCTGTCTTGAGGCTGGACAAGAGAGTCACGGACGTGAGGGATGGGCAAGTATGCCTGCAAGTCCTTATTCTCCTGAGAGGCCTCATTGTGGCTTCTCATTACATCTGTAAAAACACAAAGCACATGCATGTAAGAAGCATTGTGTGTCTTCTAGTTAAAATTAAGCTTATAGTGATGAGGCAGTCTTACCGATGATTCTCTCCACCATGTCATACATTTGTCTCGTTTCCTCCTCTTCTCTGCGCCATCTGTATTTCATGTAATACACCAAACCCAAAACAATACCAATGCCTAAAGAGAAAGAGTAAAATGAGAAAATGTGTGAAAATTATGCTTTTACCAAAGAATTATGAATTCTACAAACGGGGGATGCGCCACCTGCGACGATGAGGAGAACTCTGTGGATCACAGTGAAGAAGGCACGTCTGAAGCGGCAGGAGAATGACATGCGGGGGTGGATGGACTCCAGCCGGGAGATTTCCGATACATACTCTATGGGTTGAACAGGGTCGGCACCAATCAACCTGCGCAGAAAACGGCACACACCCAGTGAACACAGGAAAATGGTGCATACAAACACGATGAGAGATACTAAAGAAAGCGGCACCTTGTTAACGGATAGACAGAGAGGCCGATCGATAGAAAGACAGACAGACACAGGCTGATATACAGACAGGCCAACCGGAAGAAAAATACTACACCGAGAGATACTGTAGGTAAGAATGTTACACCATGTTAAAGGAGTAGTTCACTTTTAAAAAAAAAACTTTTGCTGATAATCCAAATTATCCATGTCATTCTTTCTTCAGTCGAAAAAAAATTAACGTTTTTGATGAAAACATTCCAGGATTTTTCTCCATATAATGGACTTCAATGGGAACCAAACGGTTCAAGGTCCAAAAGACAGTTTCAGTGCAAACTGCACACTGTTCAAAGGGCTTTAAACGATTTCAGACGATGAATAAGGGTCTAATCAAGCGAAACGGTCGCTCATTTAAAGAAACAAACAAAGTTTTAAGCTCAAATGGTCGCCTTGCTCTGTTCTGTGATGCGTGTTCGTGACTCTCCTGTTCGAACTCATTCATCAAAATGAACTAATCTTTTCCCGAGTCAACTCGTTCATTTCGTTCATTGAATGAACCAAATGACACGAAAAAAGATTTG